GTTAGGCTCCTCAGCCTCACCTCCTGGCTCGTGCAGGTGATCCGGGTAGATCTAGGTGGGAGCAGGGGTTCCGCCAAATATCGAGGTCCTAAACCGTTTAGGGCCTTGTATGTAAGCATTAACACTTTGAAGTCGATGCGGAAACGGATGGGCAGCCACTGCAGCTTGGCCAGGATAGGAGAGATATGATGGTATTTTCTCACTCCAGTGAGGAGTCTAGCCGCCGCGTTCTGCACCACCTGAACTTTCCGTGTCAGCTTCAAAGGGAGCCCCACGTAGAGCGTGTTACAGTGGTCTAATCTAGAGATCATGAGTGCATGTACTAAGGTAGTGAGCGCCCTCGTGTCTAGGTAAGGACGCAGTCGGGCAATCCGCCAAAGGTGGAAAAAGGCGGTGCGGACTACCGACGCCACCTGCGTTTCCATGGTGAGCGTCAGGTTTAGGTGTACCCCCCAGGCTGCGAACCCCACTCTTCGCGGCCAGGGCCACCCCCTGAACGAGAGTCACCCAGGCCGCCCACAACAGGGGCACCCACCCTCAGAACTTCCATCTTGTCCGGGTTCAGCCGCAGCCCGTTCTCCTGCATCCATTGCAGTACAGCCTCCAGGCAGCGCCGAAGGGACAGGACGGCATCACCTGCAGTTGGTACAAAGGAGATGTAGAGCTGGGTGTCATCAGCGTACTGATGACACGATGCTCCACACTCCTTGATGACCCCACCCAACGGCCTCATATAGATGTTGAACAGCATTGGGGAGATAGCCGACCTCTGTGGAACCCCACATTTGAAATTGCATGGGGCCGAGATATTCTCCCCAAGCTGCACTCTCTGGGGGCGGTCCTCCAAGAAGGAGCGGAACCAGGCCAAAGCCAGGCCTCCGATACCTAACTTGGAGAGCCTCCCCAGGAGGATACCGTGGTTGACGGTATCGAAGGCCGCCAAGATGTCGAGGAGGACCAACAGAGATGTCTCACCCCTGTCGGCCTCCCTCAGCAAGTCATCGTACAGGGCGACCAATGCCTTCTCTGTACCATGGCGTGGCTTGAAGCCCGACTGAAACAGATCCAGGGCGTCTGTTTCCTCCAAGTGTGCCTGAAGCTGGTCAGCCACCACCCTCTCAACCACTTTGCTCATGAAAGAAACGTTGGCGACGGGCCTATAATTGCCAATTTCGTCCGCCGCCAAACTAGGTTTCTTTCTTATGGGCCTAATGAGTGTCTCCATTTTTGCATTCCTATGATTACCAGAACATCTTGTTTTGCTGTGTGTCCCTTATGGACACTTGTTAAGGTTTCAGTTTTTTCTTCTGCATCTGTTGGAGTACAAACATGAATGATGATTAGGTTAATAGACTTTCTGTGACATTAATTGATCAGACTTATGCTACTTCAATTCTCACCATTAGAGCCAACCCATTTCCTCTGAGTTTTATATTATCAGAGTAAAACACTTCATTGTTATTGAAAATGTCTTATTCCATTCCATTATAGTTCACACACCTCAAGTATTGCAGTGTTTATATATTCGGTTTCTTTGTTTACAATTCTGAGTTTCCCTTGATTCACATTTCCAATATTCCAACTTCCAATTATGTATGTAGCTTCAGACTTTCCTTTTGCAACTGTGCACCTCAGCTGATGTTCTCTCAGCTTTAGGCCATTTGTTTCGTTAAGAACAGCACTAGTCATACTTATCCTCTGCTCTTCCTCAGTAACTAATTGAGAATCTTCCAACCTTGGAGTGTCATCTTCCAGCACTATCTTCTGTTCCATTTTGGATTGTTTCATCATAGGGCTTTCAAGATAGAAATATTCAGCAATGACTCACCATTGCCATCTTTTGCAAAGTACGAGCATGAGTTAGCTTGACTATCACTGCTATTGTCTTGAAATGATCCTCTGCCATTGTTATCTGTTATTAATGTTTCCCAGTAGCTGCCTGTCAAGAATTTCTGTGCTCCATCACCACCTGAACTGTTAATTTCCTTTTGTTGATGAGGCTATTAATTTTTGAAGGAGTTGGATGACTCTTGACCAATGTACCCTCTAATTTTAAGCCCTGCTGGGCAGGGCTGTGCCCCTTGCTCGTGTGGTTTACCCCTGCATGTGCATGCGACTCTGCCCCACCCACAAGCTGGGTTCCGTCGCAACCGGAACCTAATGTGATTGCTGCGCAGAGGAGGAAGACAGCTGCACAGAGGGGATTCATGCACGCACACACCCAGCTTAGTGGGAACCTTGCTATTGACCATTCTGACTTTAATGACCATGATGCAAGCCTAGACTCTGAATGGTTTCTGATTTTCTGACAGTATTGCTCTCAAGCTTCCCTTACACACTTACCCCCTCGCCACTTTATAGTGTGTTCATCCAAGAGGAGGCTGAGGATTACAGAAACATAGAATTACCTTCAGTATTTGTATTGCAAGCCGTAAAGTATAAGAAACAAACCTAAATGCTTCATCAAAAAATGTGTGATCCCATTTCTTCATTAAATGATACAGATAGCAGACAATGCTTTAAAAAGATGCAGTTAAACCCCATGCTTTGTCTTACAAGTTCTGCCCTGCCTGTGTCCCAGAATTCTGTATTAGAATCATGATAAAAACCATGCAAATTTCACATTTCTATTATATTGTTGTGGTTCAAATTCATGCCAATTTTTAGTTCTAACTGGTTCTATTTGCCATTGGTTTTCCAGTGGTAAGGATCAAGAGAAGCAATACTGATGAGTCTTTCATGCTAAGTCTTTCTGCATGTGCACAAAGGATTGTTGCTATTGCTATTGCTGTTGCTATTGATTTTCTGGGCATCCCCTCATGTCCTCCTCCTGCCTGCTGCTCTAGAGGCTTCCTGTCGTTTGCCAGCAGCCTTCCCAGGGCCTTAGGGCCGTTTCTGGAAAGGATTAAAAATGCTGTGCCTGGCATTTTAGATCGCTGGCTGTTTTCTTAAGTGAAAGTAAGGCAAGTGTTATTTTTCTAATATATTTTTTATTCCTAATGACTACTCTATAACTGTTGGACTTCTTTGTAATTGTAGCATGTTGTAAGAACTTTAGAGGGGGTTGTGGGGTTTTTTAAAATGTCACTTTTATTTTTCGAAGGAAGGCACATTTATCCTACCAGAATAATTCAGAGTGGATCTAAATCACCAAGTGGAAGCTAGCATGGGATTTAAATCTCTCTGAACCATTTTATGGTCAGTCACTTCTCTCTCATGAACTTATTTTGGAAAGTTGAAGTATAAGAAGGTTCCCCCCTCCTCTGCTTTTACTTGTGTGTCAGGTTTTTTTTTCTTGTATGATAGCATTTTTACAGTTGCATAGAGCAATAGCATTGAAATAATTTTATATTTTCATTGAATAGATTCTCATCAACAAGTTATTTAGAAAAAGTATTACTGTTCTTTCTAGTCACCCATGGATGCATTGTCTCCACGATAAAGCTGTTTCTCCCAGATGGTATGGAAGCTAGACTACGGTCGGAGTAAGTGTAATTTTAAATTTGTTGATCTAATGTCCAACAGAGTTTAGATATTACAGAATTTCTGTATATCAGGGCTAATATAAATTTATTATGTACCGTTTGTGCCACAATAATTTTTATTCAGTGCCATGTTGTTGTTGTTGTTTAGTTGTTAAGTCAAGTCTGACTCTTTGTGACCCCATGGACCAGAGCATGCCAGCCCCTCCTGTCTTCCACTGCCTCCCGGAGTTGGGTCAAATTCATGTTGGTAGCTTCAGTGACATTGTCCAACCATCTCGTCCTCTGTCATCCCCTTCTCCTCTTGCTTTCACACTTTCCCTACATCAGAGTCTTTTCCAGGGAGTCTTCTCTTCTTCTGACATGGCCAAAGTATTGGAGCCTCCGCTTCAGGATCTGTCCTTTCCAGTGAGCACTCAGGGTTGATTTCCTTTAAAATGTACAGCCTTGTCGTACTCCTTTCCCAATTTTGAACCAATCAGTTGTTCCATATCCAGTTCTAACTGTTGCTTCCAGTACCACATATAGATCTCTCAGGAGTTAGATAAGGTGGTCAGTCACTCCCATTTCTTTAAGAACTCACCATAGTTGGTTGTGGTCCACACAGTCAAAGATTTTAGCGGAGTCAATGAAGCAGAAGTAGATGTTTTTCTGGAACTCTCTGGCTTCCTCCATAATCCAGCTCATGTTAGCGATTTGGTCTCTAGTCCTTCTGCCCCTTCAAACTCCAGCTTGTACTTCTGGGAGTTCTCGGTCCGCATACTGCTGAAGCCTACCTTGTAGGATTTTGAGCATAATCTTGCTAGCATGTGAAATGAGTGCAATTGTACGGTAATTGGAGCATTCTTTGGTACTACCCTTGTTTGGGATTGGGATGTAGACTGATCTTTTCCAATCCTCTGGCCGCTGCTGAGTTTTCCAAACTTGCTGGCATATTGAGTGTAGCACCTTAACAGCGTCATCTTTTAAGATTGTAAAGAGTTCAACTGGAATGCCATCACCTCCACTGGCCTTGTTGTTAGCCATGCTTTCTAAGGCCCACTTGACATCACTCTCCAGGATATCTTGCTCAAGATCAGCAATCACATATCTGGGTTGTCTGGGACATCCAGATCTTTCTGGTATAATTCCTCTGTGTATTCTTGCCACCTCTTTTTAATGTCTTCTGCTTCTGCAAGGTCCCTGCCATATTTGTCCTTTTATCATGTCTATCTTTGCACAAAAATGTTCCTTTAATATCTCCAATTTTCTTGAACAGATCTCTGGTTTTTCCCTTTCTATTATTTTCCTCTATATCCTTGCACTGTTCATATAAGAAGGCCGTCTTGTCTCTCCTTGCTATGCTTTGGAAGTCAGCATTCAATTTTCTGTAACTTTCCCTATCCCCCTTGGATTTTGTTTCCCTTCTCTTCTCTGCTGTTTGTAAAGCCTCGTTGGATAGCCACTTTGCTTTCTTGCATTTCCTTTTCTTTGGGACAGTTTTTGTTCCTGCCTTCTGTACACTGTTGCGAGCCTCCATCCATAGTTCTTCAGGCACTCTGTCCACCAAATCTAGTTCCTTAAATCTGTTCTTCACTTCCACTGTGTATCCATAAGGGATTTGGTTTAGATTATATCTGACTAGCCCAGTGGTTTTTCCTACTTTCTTCAGTTTAAACTTGAATTTTGCTATAAGAAGCTGATGATCAGAGCCACAATCAGCTCCAGGTCTTGTTTTTGCTGACTGCATAGAGCTTCTCCATCTTTGGCTGCAGAGAATATAATCAATCTGATTTCGGTATTGCCCATCTGGTGATGTCTGTGTGTAGAGTCGCCTCTTGTGTTGTTGGAAAGAGTGTTTGTGATGACCAGCTTGTTCTCTTGACAAAACTCTATTAGCCTTTGCCCTGCTTCGTTTTGAACTCCAAGGCCAAACTTACCTGTTGTTCCTTTCTCTCTCTTGACTCCCTACTTTAGCATTCCATGAGGACTCCTCCACTTCTTCTACAGGATTTTTGCCCACAGTAGTAGATATGGTAATTGTCTGAATTGAATTCACCCATTCCCGTCCATTTTAGTTCACTGACGCCCAGGTTGTCAATGTTTATTCTTGCCATCTCCTGTTTGACCACATCCAACTTACCAAGGTTCATAGATCTTACATTCCAGGTTCCTATGCAGTATTTTTCTTTGCAGCATCAGACTTTCCTTTCACTTCCAGGTGCGTCCGC